TACATGGAGTAGAAAACTACAAACCTACCACTGTTAGCTCGACCTCAAGGGGATTCTGAATCATGCTCCGTCTAAATTTAGGATATTTAATATCAGCACTGTAGTTGGTGTGAAGGCCGGGAGTAGAATTCATATCAACCAGCCAACGCTGGAATTCGAACTTGGTTCACCTCACTGAAAAGTGTGCGTTCTATCCCCTAAGCCACCACCTCTTTCTTGTGTACATATTATGGTAAATCTTTTGGTATTTGTAGTTTGGTACAGCATAAATGTGTCTGGTTCCTGTGCTATTAATTCAGTATAGAATGTATTGACCTACCCAACAACCGAAAAAAGCAGGGTCTGAATTATCGATTATGAAGCAAATGGTTAAGTTTTCTCAATCATATCTAATTTACTCAGTTTTATTTTATAACGGTGACAGGTAATTTTAACTATGAAAATTTGTATTTAGATGCGCATTTTAATACTTACAGTGATATGTGTTATTTGAAGCATGTAAATTTAATTTTCTAGTAGAAACTGTTAATTCTGATTGGGAAAATTTGAATTTAGTTGTGTAAATTTTATTTTTAATATTGCTTATAGTGTAATAAATTGAAATATTTGAAGTTAGTTTTCTATTGGAAACTGTTATAATCCACTAGGAAAATTTGTGTTCAGTTTCGCAAACTTTAATTTGAATAACATTTACAGTGATAAGTGTTAATTTTGGATTAGGAATTCTATTTTGATCTAAATGACAAAATTATAATCTATCACCCGAATACATTTCTATTATTATATGAAAAGACTTATACAATATTAAGTATAAAATATAGAATAATTGGAAAATAACTATTCGTGTTTATTGTCTCTTCTGAGGCCATTTATAGATTTATCAGTACTTCAAGCCCCTTTTGAAGAAAAATATTCACCACAGCTCCTGTCTGAAAAATATGCTAAGCAAACAGTTGAGTTATCATCAATAGTATTGTAAATAATTCTCTTCAAATAATACTGACTGCTCAAAACACCTGCTTTAACCACTAATACGTGAATCTCTATTTTACGCTCGCATAAAATAGTTTTAGAAGCACCCCCTTCCGTCTTTGAATACATTTATGCAGTGTTTCTCAGAGTCGAGATTTTATTTCATTTTAATAAATTGTAAGCAGTGATTGTGTTTAAAGAGGGGTTATGTTAATGAATTATTTATTATTCTATATTAAATAGTAGGGTTTTGAATAAAATGTAAAAGATAATATATTAAGAGACAAATAAAAATTGTTTCATTGAGCATTGTGACGTTTGGTCTTAAACGGATAACTTAAGATGTTTCGCTGGTTTAAAATTTGAAAAATACTAATAAAAAATAAAATAAATATTTTCTGTTGAGTACACTATCAAAAAAATTGGTTCAGTGTTGAACGTTCAAAACGGTGCAGATTCGTTGCAACCTTAACATGGTATAAAATTGAATCTTGTTTCAGTTAAATCATAATATTGCGTAACCAACTTTAGAAGTACGATAATATGGTTCTACTTAGCACCAGATTAAGGAACAGTAAGTTTGAATTGTGATTATGATTCAAAACGTTGCAAAATTTCTTAAAGTGTAGTGCAGCATGCCAAAAATATTGTTAACTTTCTCAGTAGTTTTCTAAAAGTGCAAAAGTAATGAGACTTTTTTTAAATTTGATTTTGCAGGAACTGTTTTACAGATTTCGCACATATTTTATATTTTTCTATATAAATTGACATTCTCTAAAATGATGTTAAAAATTCTATACCTTACAGGTCAGAATTTTTGCGACTATTATTAAATGAAATAACAAAAAAAAATAATAAAAAATAATAAATATCTGAAAAAAGTTATTTATTACATGGAATTATCTTAGGTTAAACGAATTTTATAATTGTGGGGAAAAACTTCTTAAATGTTTCCGAGATATTACGAAATACGCAAAAAGTAAAATAAGTACCCAAACTTTGGACTTCTCTCCTGACCAAACTATTAAGACCATATTTCCCAGATTGTGGCTACCCCCTATATTTTGGGAGTCAGAAATCGATATTTGTCGGAAAAGGGCATGTTTATTCATAGAAAGTATGATTTTGTATCGAATTTCGTAACTTAAGTGAATTTATCATTTTCTTTATGCGCATTTTCAGCTACATCAATTGTCTTAAATACACATTTTAAGATAATATACTTATTTTAAACTATGTCAATTTTCTTAAATGTGCATTTTTAGTAGTAGCAGTAGTAATCTGGCGGTCCGTTTTGTAGCTCCATGCTTCATAAATGTGCATGTAGCTCTCGTGAATTACGGGAAATTAAATAGAAGACAGATCTTTAGAAGTGCTTAGTGGATAATTTTCAGCTGTATCCAATTTCTTAAATACGAAATTTGAGCTTTGTCCATTTTCCTAATACGCATTTTCAGCTGCGTAAATCATAAGAATTATATATTTTAAGCTTTTTCCACTTTTATGAAACACGAATTTTAAACCATGCCTATTTTTTCTTAAATATGTATTTTAAACTATGTAGTTTAAACTATGTTTTAAAATATGTATTTTAAACTGGAAAGTATTTTAAACTATGTTCGCTTTCTTAAACTCACATACTTAGCTATAGGTCCAGAATTTGAAGCTCACTGACGAGATGTTCTAGAAGCAGCTTCCTTATATTTTTTGTATTTTTCTCAAATTCATTTATTTAGCAAGATTATTCGGTAAATTCTGCAAGCTCCACTACCTATCAAAAGCCAGTAGTTTTTATGCTAAATAACGTCATGATAGGCTCGTTATACGTCTCTAAACATATATCCTTAGTTATTATTACTCAGTTATAAAAAATACTCCTACTTAATCGAATCACTAAAAACGAAAGTTTTCATCAACTAGAAGATGAAATTATGTATAGATTACGAAGTATCGCATAAAATATTCCTTAATTGCATTAAGACAGTCATTAAGGCTTCTTCAAACTATCGATTAACAAGAAGAAGCAGCCTATCTTTTAGCTTGTTAGACATAAATAAAATTTCAACAATTGCTGTTAAGAAGAGGTTTATGGCCTAAGTAATGGGAATAAAAAGACAATCAAGTCATATTAATCAAATTGAAGAATATCACGCCATCACCATTAATAAGTAATACCTTTAATTCATAACTTAATCAAAGATGTAGCTCTTCTTAATGAATTTCAGGATTATAATGAAAAGAATTTGTAACATTTCTTTCTGTTCAGCGAAAAAAAAAATGTGCGAAGTTACTTACATAATAATACTTATTAACAATAGTTAATAAGTATTATTCATTTTTTAAGCATACTTTTCTGTAATGCTCCTTTATGAAATGTTAATTTGATTCTACAGTGAGTTTTGAATTAGTTTCAGAAATATTGACAAAGAAATAATAGTCATAATCATTTGTCAATAATCATTCAGTCCGTGTCAATAGTCATTTTGAAGGTATGTTTTTATTCATGATTTATGGTTATTAGTATGTTTTTATTCATGACTTATGGTTCTTAGTATGTTTTTGCGCTTATCCTAAGTTTTTTGTTAAACATTTTAGAAAATAAATATTTATTTAAGAAAAAAATATAAAATAGAAAAGAGAAACATAAATTGCCTGTTTTGCACATAATTTTAGCCACGGATTTGTCCATGGAGACGGATTTTTCCGTCCTTTCTACGCATCCGTACTCGGTTTGCCTTGAAATTGTAGTACCCGTTGCTGCATATAGCTGATGAAACAGGTCGGTTGCTATGCTTCGTCTACTTCTTTCGGCAGTTGCTGCCAAATACATGTCTTCATTCGGGGTTCTAACTTGAGACCACCTGCACTGTAATGATTATTGACATTTCCATCATCTTAGAATCGTTGTCAAAGCATAGATATCACACTTTTGGCAATTCCAAGTGGATTCCAAGTTAAATTGCCTATTGTGTTTGAAGATTACTAATTATATAGGGAAATTTTTTTATATATTTTAGATCTCAATTTCCGTGTGATTCTGAATTATCCTTTATGTTCATGAGTGTATTTACTAGCTGAATACACTTTTTTTTTGTAAGGGTTAGAAAAAAAGTAATAAATAAATCGGTTCTGAATAACGCTATAAAATCATGCACAAAATTACAGAGCAAATAATAAAGCTAAAATAAGTTAAATGTTTTTATTTATTAACATTTGTTGCACTTTTGCGTGGTTTTACGTTATTAGATTAAGCAAAACACGTATTTAGTAGTTCATCCCATCAAAATAAATATTAACTCTTTTCAATATCATCTGGCATAATGCTGTTGCTCGAGACAACTAGTGATATTTAAAATATACCATAATACGCAACTTTTTCCTTTATATATATTTAAGGGCCGTAAAGAAACTAGTTCCGGAGCATCTATCATAAAAATGCACGAAATTAGTGCAGCTTTAATACACACTAAATTTACTGATAAAATAATTTGTAATTAAAATTAAGCATTATTGGTGTCAAAAAGAGTGTGGAGACGTCTTACGGTTCATCATAACGAATAAGTAGATCTTCAGATATATTGTTTCTTGTAGCAATAGAAAAAAAGAGAAAATAAGTAGTCAAAGAAAGTAAACTCAAATATAGTCCATAACAATAAAAAGAAAGTTCGTCTTGCCCTTTATAATTCCAGAACTTTTCGTGCTGGTGTCACGAACTTTCGTACGTAAAAAGAGCAATTTCCTTCCTCGATCTTAAAAAAAATTTCAAAAATTTAATTTAGATCTTCCGGAAGAAGCGTTTATAAAAAAAAAGGAAATTTACTCATTAGTTAGGAATCAGCCCTTGTTTTAATTGAAACTATAAATAATTCTGCGTTATCATATATTTTAAGGATTACACCAATGATGTTAGCAAGCTTACAGCTCTCATTTATTAACAAACAAGTTTATCGCACTGTATTGAGTTATTTGTTGTTCGTTATGTCATAGAGAGATTTTGTGTAATCAAGTCGAATTAATAAAAAGCAATCTAACAAAATATATAGTTTTATTTCTTCAAAAAATAGTTGAAGTCTTAGTAGAAACGTAAAGCTTGTACAAAATGGTTTATTTTCTTCTTTTCTTCATGTCAAAGACTTTCTCGAAAATGGCACGACGTTCAGATTCCAAAGCTAAAAATTCGATGTATTTTGTTTTCAAATCCAGAATGCTCTGTGGAGTGCAAATACCGTATTTCAGGAATTTTGTTCTTTTCAGTAATTCAACAAGTGTTGCCCGTGCGTCTTCTCCACACTTCTCTAAGACGTCTCCAGAAATACAAGCAAATACATGAGCAGCCATCCTGAGAATAAAGTGTTGTTAAAAAATGTTTCTTAAGAAACTAAAACTGAGGCTTACAGAGCAAGTAAAAATAACATATCCCCTTATCAAACAATTATTTTAGATAAATTTTAAAGTGTTCAATTTATATTGCGTGTGTTATTTATATTGTGACCACTCGAAAATAAAAAAAAGGGATTTTATTACAATTCTGCAGAGAAATTTTACTTAATTTCGTTCGTACAGTGCCAATTCAGGACGAATACCAACAGTGATCCAATAGCAATTATGACGAATGAAGTAAGTTAGGAACAAATAACAATTTATTTAATAATTAACATATTATATCCCGAATACATATGACAATTATATGGTACCGCCAAACAGAAACTTTTCCCTAGAAGTAAATGTTTACAAAAAACGAAATTAAGAATTACATACAAAATCATACTCGAATGATTCGCGCTAAAATCCAACGAAGAAGTTAGACGCTAATGGATTTGCTCAAATTCGTCAAGGTGCCAACCCGTTTGCTGTAGAAAATTACACAAAACAGGGATTAATAATTTCAGAATAATTAAAGATGAACACGTGAGGTTACGAATCAGTAGTAAAGAGTAGGACAAATAAGTATACCATCAAAACTAATGATGAAAAATATAAAAAACTGTCTGATTGCTCAAAGAAACTTGGCGTTTCTCCCAACCATAAAAAAAAATCAGTTTCAATTCTTAAAATTCCAATTTTCTCAATAGAAATTCGTGAGATTTTTTATTGTGGTTGACTTCATTTTTAAAAAGACAGATAATATTCTAAAGACAGATATTAAGAGTTGTCACTACGTAACATACTATTAGCAATGCATACTCGTTGCAATACATATGATTTTTATTATGAATACATGTAAGAAACAATAACCAATATATAATAAATCTAATGTGCAATAAATACAATTTTTAATCGAAATACAAAGAAATTGAAATTACCAAAAGGCGAACTTAAAACACTTTGCTTTCATGATTATATGATTGATTAATTTCAAAAGCTTATTCAGTTGGCATGTGTGTCAGTACACCCGATATTTCGTAATTATATGATTTCAAATAAAACGTTCTCGAATAAGAATTATAAAATGCATTTGAAATGTTTCCAAGACACACTGATTTTAAAAAGCATTAGAATTACCTTGTTTGAAAAAAAAATCATGGTATTGAAAAAAAAATCATAATAATCTTTGAAATAACAGAAAAACAATTTTTTTTAAATCTCTATTAAAACGTGGAATAAACCTTCGTTTCCTTTTTTTTTCCCTATATTTTATTTTAAAGTATGAAACTGTGAATACTGTGTGTGATACTGTGAATTCTCAGCAAGAATCCTTATATATTTTAACACGTTGACTGTCGCACTCGCTTACAGTGAATTCTCGTTCAGGCCACGAGCACCATTGTACGAAGCGTATTTTGCTAAGTACTCCCACCGATATTTTAATAATGAGAGTTTCTGGTGGTCACAAGAATAACATCTCGCTCCGTTTGTTTCCATGGTATCATGTCTGTTTATTTGCTTCCATTGCTTTGCATCTGTTTCTCATCTCGCCACTTAGCACTATCAGTTTGAATCTTTACAGAGTAAAAAAGAGTATAACTTAAAATCTTTACCCTACTTCGTTGAAATTTCGAAAAGAAAATGGATCACTTATTTCTTTGTGAGTCAAATAGCAGTTAACAAGAAACCTTTTACGAGGCTCACAAATATTTTCTTAATCAATAATTTTTGTATTACTTCTATACTAATGCAATAGTTTTGTTACTTAGTGTGAAATATCGCTTCGAACGCATACGAATATCCTTCTCAAGTAGTCAAATAAGCGTCACCCCAAGACAGGTGATGCAGCAGTCAACGTCGGAAACAATCTAACCTTTTAAATAAAACTACGTAAAAGTTTTAAACATTTTACCTATACATTTTTTGATATATTTAACTTCCTTTAGTCTTCTCTAAACTTGTGGAAAATTTTTATTTCGTTTTATTGAATAAAATTTTAAAAAATAATAATAAAGAAAAAAATATAAAAATATTTCATTTTAGAATTAAAAAAAAAATTTAAGCACGATTGGTAAAAAATATTGTTGTAGAATTACAGTTCCAAACAAATAAAAAAAACTAGTATTAAAGTACAATGTTTTCAGTTACATTATTAAATTAAAAACGTCCATTTCGTTCAACATTTCAAATTTGAAAACTTTTTTTAGAAATTATTATTTGATATGATTTGTGAGTATCTTTTAGAAAATTTATTGTACATGTTTTGCAATCTAGTTTGCATAACATAATTTGAAACAATATATACATTTTCAAAAGGTTTACATATTATACCCCTGACCTTCTTAAAAATATTCATTATAATTTTCCGAAATGTTCATTGTGGCCCCGTAATACATTCCATTAATTAAATTTGTTTATTAACGGTAATTATTAATTATAAGGTATAAGGGAGCATGTGTAAAATCCATCGACCAAGAAAAATGACGCAAATTCTGCTAAATGGAAGCAAAATCGCTTCATAATGTTACCAGTGGATGTTTAATGGGTATTGGAACAACATGTGAAATCTAAAAAATGTTAAATTAATACTTTAAGACATACGATTTATAAAATTTGTTTCGCAGATTATTTGCAAAACTAACTAAAATTTTAACTAACTAGCTAAACTTTAAATTCATTATATTTTGACAAAACCACAAGAATTATATTTTCATACAAAACCTTGAAAAAATAACCACGTATTTGATACATCTTTTACTATTGCTGACAAAAAATTAAGCTTGGCACCGTTGTTTGGTTTTGCGGTTAATGGTCGGCAGGATATTACGCAGGTACAGATAAGAGAATTCTTACATGCAGTGGCGTTCTCGTTCATCTTCATCTTCTCCAAATTTGTAAGAGCCATAAAGACCTTTTGCCTCGAATGCACAAAGGGGCACCGTCATGGGTGCCATCATAGTGTCTCTAATGCAACCAATATTTCGGGCATAAGCTATGAATGCAAAAGAAACTTGTTAGAATGTAACATGTCAGTTGGTTAAAAATAACATTATTTGTGTGAAGTTATTTAAGAAATTAAGCGCAAAGTTTAATTTTGTTTCAAAATTGCTCTTAACTGTTGCCACGAAGGTGTAGAAATCCGTAATTCTCCTGATTATGTGCAGATTAACCAGGCACATTATCTTCTACGCACATTGTTAAAGTGAGTATAAAATCTTTGCTAGAACAACAGCAATGTTTCTGCAGCTTAAATTAACGTAATGTTATTCATTTATTTTTGATTATCGAAAAAACTTAAGTTACTACAATCAAACAGTTAACACATCAGCCGATAGAATGAATTAACAGTCACTTAAAAAATATAATTCAAAGAATCAAACGATTCAATCAATCATCAAAATTAGATTAATTAACGTAATGTCGTTTATTTACATTTCAATATCAAAGTATATCAAGTCAATGAATACAATCAAACAATCGAAAAATTAATTGATAAAATGAGAGAAACAAACTTTTGACATTTAACGATATGGAAGGAAACGGTCAATGCACATATTACATAGATAAATTATAAAAAACACTTGATTCACCACTCTAAGCTTCTATAGTATTTTTTCCATGGTCTCATATGCTTAGCTATTTAGTACAGAAATACATTATATTCAATTGAATTTTTTTTAAATTAAATAAATCATTAGAAAATTTTTATGCTAATATAATTTTTTTAAACCACTCGATATTGGGATATAATTTTTAAAACAATGCTTTTAAATGTATAAATAGATCTATTTCCACATTTTAAATCAGTGTTTCACTTTAATTTCTTTTATATTTTTATCTAATTTAATTATGGATTTTTTTTTCATTCATTTCATCCAGCAGTTTTCTAGTAAAAAAAATGCTTTTTGTTATTTTAGGTTCAATTAGTATATAAACAAAATTGGACTATTATGAAAAGAAATTAAATATTATAAAAATATCAAGAATTACTCAAAAACAGTCAACGATTTGTAATATTTAAACGGAACGAAAAACAAGTTTAAAGACAAAATTACACTTGTGCTGATACTTCAGTTGGAATGGTCTCATAAGTAACGGAAAACATTTAGAAATTATTTTAGTTTAACGCGCCATCTGTTGAAAAACTTTCTAACTAATTTTGAAGAACATGGATTTCCGAACCAGCATGCAGAAAAAAAAAATTTCTGCCTGTTTCAATTTTCCTTATTATTATTATTTTACCGAATTCGGTATCCAAGCATAATTAAAATTAAATATAGTATCGGAATTAAACTATTCTTAGTAATAATTGAAAAACACATAAACTGTTGTCGTTTAAATACCTTTATGAATTTGAGTTGTTGTGTCACATAAATCCTCCATTAAATCTTTCGTTCCTAAAATGATACTCGAAGCAGCTACTAGAGTTTCATTGTCAGAAGTGGCCAGTTCTTCAAGATCTTGATCCGCGCATTTGCTGAATTCTTCCAATATGCAATCAGTTGCTACACGGATAGCCCTATAATAATCATAATTGAAGAACTTAATGTAATAAGGTTTTGAGTGACATTTAAGTGACATACGTTTAAAGTATTTAATTTAGTCTTATTTTACTGTAGAATATTCAATTAGTTTTCCAAATCATTAAATGTCGCAGATCTCACAGAGGATAAAGGTTTTTAAGTGGAAGGTTTCAAATTCGTTTTCAACATAAACAAAAGAAGAAAAATCAAGAAAAGTCTCTATCATAGAAACAAATTAAAACGCTAAGCTTTCGGAAGCTCTGACACGAACAGTTTAAATAAGTGTTTGACATTTATAGCTTTACTGAATCGAAAGCTTGTGACCAAAAATGAAAGCATGATGTAACTTTTATTTCCTAATCACAAAACATATAGCTCTATTTCACTTAAATATCACTTAAAATTTATTGATACTCACTCACTAAAATGTCACTTAAAATTTATTGATACTCACTCACTAAAATGTCACTTAAAATTTATTTAAGCTCGATTTCACTAAAATATCACTTAACCACTCAGATCTTCACTTTATATATTAAAGTAATCTCAATATGTAAATTATGATCATCTTTAAAGTTTGAGTCAAAGTTGACAAGTTAAGAAATTATCACTTGTTATTATAAGTTAAATACTTTTAGTTTATAAATGGAAGATCTTATTATTAGAGATGTTTAAGTGAATTTGATTAAATGAATTTGATTAAGTGAATTTGATTAAGTCAGCTTTTGAATGTATAGAAAACGTAGGAAGCTGTTTTTCTTTATCTAAAGCAAAAGGAATGGGGTGATCTTTCCTTCCTCTCATTCAACGGAAGGACGAGCAAATCATAGTTATTTTAAATACATTTTTAGGATCTCTTTTTAATTATTTCCAACATTTAATTTATCGAAAATTTCTGCCTCTATCGACTAATTCGTTCTTTCTAGCGTTTTTTTCGTAGTTTGAACAAGGGCTTATAATATTTCTAAGAATGGGAAAATGGCTTAGGTGTACCAATCAATATTAATTTATAGTGATGAACGATGATTCTCACAATTCTGCTTCATTTTTAGATTACAATTTAAAATTCGATTAGAACTAAAATTGAAAATGTACACAAACATTTCAAAATTAGGAGAATTATTATTTTACATCACTATGAACGTTTTTAATTTTAGTGTTTACAACGTCATTGTGTTGATATTAACAATATATAAGTAAGGTATAGTAGTAGACAATGATATTTCATTGTTATGAACATTCTTAATCATTGAGTTTAAAAATGCCATTATCTTCATTCTAACAATAAATTTACAATGTATCATAATAATGGGCAATGATTTCTCATCAACTTTAACGTTCCTTTTTAATTTTAGAGTTTAATTGTCATTATATTAACATTAATCACAAATTAAAAATGTTTCATAATATTGGGGAATGATTTTTCAAAATCCTGTAACTTTTTATAATCAGAATGAATTATATGCAATTAAAGTAAATTAAAAAAACACAAATCAGTTATATTTCATAGTTATGAGCGATAATTTCTCATTATCTTGTACTCTTTAAATATCAGATTTTAGAATGTAATTGAAGTAAAAAAACAAATAGCAATAACGTTTCATAAAAATGAGCAGGGATTTTTCTTCCTATACGTTTTTAATAGCAGAATTTAAAATGCAGTTAAAGGAAATTGATACAGAAACCAATAAGGTTTCCTAATAATGGACAATGATTTTTCATCATTACGTAAGTTTTTAATATCAGAATTATAATGCAATTGAAGTAAATTAAAATATAAAGCAATAGTTATTCGTAATGATGTGTAATGATTCTGCATGATCCTGTATGCGTTTAAAGTTGGAATTTTAAAGGTAATTAAAGTAAAATTAACCACAAAATCAATAATATTTCATAACAAAAGGTAATAATTTCTCATGAACTTGATATCAGAATTTAATATGCAATCATAGTCAACTTAAACGCAGATGAATGTTTCACAATAATAAGTGTTGGTTCGACATCTTCCTGTATGTTTTCAGTCTAAGAATTAAAATACTTTTGATATACGTACGGGCAAACAGCTTCTAGCCTTTCCACTGATGGAAAGAGATGATCAGGATTTTCCGGATCAACGGGAGGTGCTAATTTTTGACATCGGTCAGCTGAGCACGTTTCCAGGACAGCAAGGCAACCTATTATTAAAATACATTTATACGAAATTAAAAATAACCATTTTCAAATAGTTCAATATTTATTAATTTAGATGGTAATCGTAATGAGCCAAACTTTTTTAATATTATTTTATAAGTTAAAGAAATAAACTATCAGGTATTGAACTATTGGACCCAAAATCTTTTACAGGACTGTTTTACTAGCAAAGTTGTGTTAAAATATTTTTGGTATTGATATTGACCTATAAAGAGAAATTCATTTAGCGTAGGACGTACGTAGATGACCATTTATCATTGGGGAGATTATGACCATGTATCATTGGGAGCATATTTAAAGATTAACGAAGTTGGAAGGAAGTAGCATTACTCCTAACTAGTAAACTAACATTAACTTACAAACTACCCTAGCAGCAAAATAACTTAGTCCCTCATTGGGTCAATATTCATAAGTCCTTGCTCAGTAAAGGTTCAAAGGTTCATTATTTTTCCGATATTGACACTATATAGAACTTTCAGATTCACTCGATATTTTACAGTCACTTTACAACCAATATCAGTCTTATAGAATTGTCAGATTCACCCGATATTTTATATCCATTATTTAGCCAATGTAGGTTCTGTATTGGCCAATGTAGGCCCTATGTAGACCATTCCAGGATCAATATTAAGAAAAAACCAAGACATCCCAATACTAGTCCCTCGGTGCATGTTCTTGTAGAACCCCATATTGAGCCAAGGAAAAATTGTTTCTAGGGTAATATTAACTTACAACTAACAATAACTAGAGTTATTTCGAACAAGAAATGAGAAGTATATCTGAATTGTTTTTACGTATCACGAAAACAATTTTTTTAGAATATATTTTACGATGCATCGTAAATGCCTTGCCTGCAATAAATGCCACGAATTAGATTATCTTCAACAATGATAACGTTATAGTTATCCAACACGCTAATAGCGGGATCATTTTCATCTATGGTATTAATCGAACATAATTGGATAACTATTGACAATGATACTTACAGAATAAGACAACACCCTGTAATTATCGACAAGTATAAAATCTCGAAATTAACTCATTCGGTAAATCTATTGTCATATTTTTATAATTACTCATCGATTTGTTAAAAATTATAAAAAAAGTGTTTTCCTTAATAAGGTAATGAAATTATTGACCAATGTAAAAATAATTCAAATTAGTTGAATTAAAAATTATCGCATTATATCGTAAAATATTTATGCTTCTTAATATATCGTCCAATTAATGGGAATTCCGATATTACTCAGAACTAGATATTTTCAACGGCATGTTAATAAACATTATGTTACATAGATCACTTACTTTATTAATGTTAATCAGACTAGGGCAAAAACATAATTTGGAATAAAATTTTCGAAATTGAATTTATTAAATTCTTATAGTCTTAGCGTTCTAAAAATATTTTACTTTTGTTTATACTCCAATTATTTACAAAGTTATGGAAGTTTTTCTACAAGGTGATAAAGAATAGACTTGATTTTAAGTTTTCAAATGCGTTAATCGCAAAATCAGGTTTTCTCACATTTTACACTACCCTAAACACAATATCTCATATTGTTTTTAAAATAATTGTCTTCAATTTTTCATGAGTGCTTATGATTTTGAACTGCACACCATGAGAAAAGAATTGAATTTCATTTTCTATGCATGTTTTTTCGCAAAGACACGAGCAAAATTTTTTTTAAATTTGCTTCTTTAACTACTTTGATCCTAAACTCATCGTAAAAGCAAGTGCATATACTACTTATAGTTCAGAATATAGTTGATAGACATCTAAATAACATCCTTAGAGGATTTTTTTTTGTTTTGGATGATAGAAATTTTTTACAGAATTTAGCGTATGTGTAAAAAATGCCTAATTTTTGCCTAAAAATGGCCATTTAAAAAAAAATTTCATTTGCTAGTTTCATAAGTTTTTACACATAATGTAATATATAAGCTAGTTTTATAAAATTTCAGATTAATATTTTTTTGAAGAGAATATATCAGAATTATTCCGATATATATTTTTTTTAAAAAATATATCGAAATTATTCCGATAGCTTAATTTAATTTTAATCTATTTTATTTTGCTATGTAAAGTTGGGCTCTTTAAAATGAAGCAAAAAATTTATTCCTGACTATTCAATTTTTTTTCGACCATTTTTAAATTAAATTTTAAAAAAATAATAAATTTTACTAAGAGTTATTGTTTGCATGGAATTATCTAAATTGGAAAAAATTGGAATTTATAATTGTGGGTAAAACCTTTTCAAATCGATTAAAAAGTTATCGAGATATAGCGAGTTGTGCATAAGGTAAAATTAACATTAAGGGTCCTAAACTTCGAAACACTTTTTTATAAATTAATTTATTTTTTTTATTTTAACCTAATACCTTACTTACAAACTTAGAAAAACTTAATTAAAGGGGCTTAGGAAAAAAACTGTATTTAGTGATAAAAGAATATAATGCCTTATCATTGATGGTGCATAATATGAATAACGTATTGGAGCACTTTAAATATCATCACGAGCTATGAGAGAAGGGGATAAAAGAGGAGGGTTCGAATTGAATATTGCTACTTAAGCAAATGAGTCATTGTTTTTAATGTTTTTTATTACATTGAATCGATTTGAAATAATCATACGCTGCTAGGACAAGTAGTTCACAATTTATGAAGATTTCATATGAAAACAGTACATATTTTGACCAATTCACGCATTTGGCATTGCCAGGTAGGAAAATGAAGTATTTTTCCCTATTAAACTTTTTTTAGTCTAAATCGAATGCGATCAAAACAAAGACGATATATTTAATAGTTCAAGCGTAATGAAACATTTTAAAATACAGTTTTGTACTTATACCTATTTACATGTGCGACAATGTTATATGGACAAATGTTTCATTGTTTTTATTCTATTTTATTTCTTAATTTTTTTGCGCTAAATCCAATAGTATCAAAATTTAAGTAGATGGAAGTTATCATTTAAAATCTATAAAAGCCTTATGCGTAGACAGGTATAGATCAAAAATTATAACTTAAAATCATTATTTCCCTTAAAGCACTATTTCCTACGACTAAATTTCGAGATTATTTGGATTTAGCGTAAAAAATGCGTGAAAGAGACAATGGCACAGTCAAGTGCATGTATAGGTTTAAATTAAAAATAGTACTCAATAAACATGAACTTTTTTAATTTTTACAGTTTCAACACTGCTGATATCCTTCGATGTGTAAGAAATACATAAGATACAAATACTTTACTTTACTACTTGATTTGAATTAAAAAAAACCTCATTTGCTTAAAATAAAACAATAATTCATTTCCTTCAGAAATTTTTAATCTAATTAGCACTAAGGCAAAATTTGCATCAAATTTACGTCAAAAACAATTTCCAGACTATGAAACCAACAATTTCGATTCATTCAATTCGGCCATAAAAGATACATATGGAACATTACTTAATTTATATAAATAGCAATGTTTAAATCTATCTTTAGAGATGGAGTATAAAATGATCTATCGTAAAATTATGTTTATATATCATCTACGAACAAGTACAAAAAAATATTATCCTCTCACAAAGTACAGAATCGTACATTCTATTACCATAATTACATATTTTACTTTAAAAAACCTTACTCCTAACCTTATTTAATCCACCACATTCATAACTGCGCCAGACAAACCTTTTTTACTAATTTTATACTTAACAAAAGAAAATTAGCGTTGACCCTCTGCATGTCCGTAGGAAATATATTTCTACCAGCTACATACGTTTTTAAACGTCGATAAAAATCGTTTTTTTCCTGTGATTTATGTGGCTATCATCTGATAACTTTAAAAAAAAATGAATGGTTTGTTTGTATAAATTTGGGAAGTAGTGGAGATTAGGTGTTAAAAAAGAGAGGAAAACACTAGGGAGCTATTTTCTCTTACAACGTTTGTTAATTTGATAATTTCTCATCGAGTTCATTTGCAGCAATAAATACAGAATTCATGAATTTTGTTATTTTTTTAAAATTTGTAGTCAAATCTTTATTGCTTTAACGTAATTTGATTTTTAAACAAACTGAGCTCCTTTTCATAAATCAAACTCAATTCCGAAAATATTTTAATCTAGAACAAATTAACCTATAAAGAGTTAACAGAAGCAAACATAAATTTAAATAAACAAGTCTTGAGCATCATACGAGAAAGATTTAAACTTACCACTGAATGAAATGCAAAGTATCAGAATAGATTTCCACATTGTTAGAGTAGATGCGTTAATCCTGGCTTGGTAACAACTACTACAATAAAGTAATGATCAAAAATTTCGCTCCCTTTTATATATACTTGAATTTTTTTCTCTCTCTAGAATAAGGTGGTTTAAAAAAAACTGTTCCATTCATGGTCAATAGGAAAGGGAAGTCCGTTTTCTAATGTCAAAGTGTGTATTGATATCTGCACAGGAAATAACAATTAATGCATTTCAGATGATTATTTTCAATTAAGATATCTTGTAAAGTATAACATATGGAGTGATTAATTTTTCTGCTTTTAAATATGGCGTGGGGCTGACGATAAATGTATTACGTAAAATGTTAACGGTTGCTAGGATGTAGGAAATGTTTGGCAATTTCTCCAAAATGACTTCTGTTACGCCACATTTCGTAACAGTTATAATAATATATTATGAGACGGAATCGAAAAGTTTAGAGCAATATATTGATAAGCAACATTTTTACATCAAACTGTTCCAAATTACTATGTCCAGACAAACATTTAAAAATTTGTAGAATTTCCACTAGATGGCAGCATACTACTACACAAAAATCTTATTTGAAATAGCAAACTCTCTCCATAGCAGTTTGACAAAATGGCTTATCATTAAATTGCTCCAAACCCTTTTACTTCTGATCAAAAATTTAGTTATTTAGCTGTAAAAACATATTGTTATTTTAACTTCTGCTAATAAGTACATCCAAAACATTAAAGATAGCTATAAAACTTATTATTTCAACCAATGAATAGCTTTGACGAATGAAATTACCGAAAAAATAAGTTATCAAAAGATTCCGATGCAAAAAAAATTTTTGAAAATGGTAGATTTTTTTTTTATTATGGAAACAAACACTACTATTAATTATTTTACGAAGTGTGAGGAAAGAAACTTAAAACACTTAAAGACTCGCTTGTTACCTGATTAGTTTTATTTCTTATTCTTAAAGGTTTCTTTTCGATTAATTTTAGGCGAAAATTTCTTCAACATTCAAATATTGGAACAGGATATGCTAGAAAGTCTGTCGAAGTTCTTATCATATTAAGGGCAGCAGCTATAGTTATTAGAGCCATGTCTAGGTATATTAAATAGGCTATTGTTACTAGAGAAAAATTGCTATACTTTTGTTTTTATATCCAAAACTGTACCTGATTTGGGGAGAAAACGAATTCAAAAATAAAATAGTTGTGTGAAACTGTATTGATTTGATACTAATTGACGCCTTGGGGACATTAATGAAAAAAAAGGATAATTTGTTTGCAAGAAATATTCTGCATTGTGGAGAAACTGAATGATCTCGCAACACCCCTTTGAAATTATCAAAATCATTGCCTTTGACATCCTTTTAAGGAACATAAGTTTTAATAAGAAAAGGCAACTTTTGAATGAAATCAGTCGAAAAGTTCCAGAGAAATTAAATTTTAAACTGTAAAACTTTTTTAAAATGAAATTGTGTATAAAATTGAAAAATAAAACAGTTTGATGCCATTACCTTTAATTATGTTATGTAGGTTGAATTTTACGTACTACAGATAATCCAGAACTAATTAAACATAAATTATTTCTGAATAAACGTTCTCTTTTTAAGTGTGGGTAAAGCTATTCAATTTGCTTAATTCTAGGAATAAGACAAAAATGAAGAAAATTTAAACAACAGAAATGGGAGTTGGATTTTTTTTATTGATTTTCTTTATTTTATTGCAATATTTATCAGTTATTATTACCATGATAATGTTTAAAAATCCAAAAAAAAAATTTTCGGAAGAAGCATACTTACGTGTCAGACTAATCTAATGCGAAGGTAATCAGTTGATTAACTTGTTCAAAGTGATGAATTAAATGAAAAAGGGATCAACAAATCCATTAAAATCATATCTATTAATAGGAAAAAATTCGAACATTTGATCGGAAATTATTTTGATTGATATCAAAGTTTTCATGTTAAATTATTAATTTATTTTTGCTGATTGTACAGTGCTAAAAAAAGGGATCACTTTAAATAACTTTTGATCTAATGATCGGATTTTCACGTTCTAGGACTCAATCTAAATGACTCGACGAGGTTACTTCAAATATTCTGATTAATAAGTGCAGATGATATTTTAATCTACGAAATCAGACAAAAAACGCCTCTAAAATATATAGGAAATATGATCCTAATTGTTTGGACAGGAGAGCGGTCCGAAGTTCGGACCCCTTAATGTTAAATTTACTTTTGACGTATTTCGCAATCGCGAAAAATTTTTAAGCGAACTAAAAAAAATTTTGAATGCAATAATTACAATTTATTTAGCCAAAGATAGTTCTATGCAAAAATAACTTTTAGTGAGTATTTGTTATTTTTTATTACTTTATTTTACAATAGTCGAAAATTTTTTGAATTGTAAGGTATACAATTTTTTACATCATTTTCAAGAATCTATATTTGTCATCATTTTAAAGAATCTATACATGTCAAATTACCAAATTTGAGCAAATTGATTCCTGAGAAATTGAATTTTAAAAATACGACTTTTTCAAAATTCAATTTCTCAAAAATTATTCGATCAATTTTGCTTATATTTTGTATTTTGCCATCCAAATTGCATTCTTTGAAAGAATGTAGAAAATTGTATGCTTTACATTTCAAAACATTTTGATTATTATTAAATAAAATAATAAAAAATAATAAATAAATAATAAAAGTTAAATTTTGCATGGGATTATCTTTTGATGAATGCATTTATAATTATACACAAGAACTTTTCAATTCGCATACGTAGAACATGATCGATTCATTTCCATTTACGTTTTTTTAATTTCCAGATCAATCGGTTTATGTTTTGCTTTTCTAAGTGTTTTTGCATTACAAATTTTATGGAACCACTTGATACACAAGATTCTTCTTAAACAGTTGTTAATATATACTTGGAAATTTTTTTCAGGCTTTTGTTAATTCCATTTTTCTTTCTTCCCAGCCCTATTCTAGTGAAAGTCTTGTTACATACATTTAACAAAGTGATTCCTCTCCAGTTGTCACTTATCGTTAAATCACTTTTTTTTGGGTAGTTTTATCAGCAGGCTTTCAACCCAATCATTAAGCCACTCTTCGCTCTTCATGATTTTATTAAACAGTTCAGTTAAAGCTTGGATTGTTATTTCATTTTATGACCGTATAATATTTAATAATTATTTTATATTAATATTCAACCCCGTAGCCTTTCATTTTGAACCCAATAAAGAAAACAAGAAAACTCCTAAATCATGTGTTGGGAGAAATATTGCTTTCTTGGAGGACTCTCTGATGGAACTAACCCGCGTTTGCAGCACATGGAGGGGAAAACCGCGAAAACCTCCTACGCTTAGCCTGACGACAAGGGAACTCTATCCCCTGATCTGTCTACCACTGAGGATATTTTACGTCATCACTGTGATCGGTGCGAGCCGTATGCGAAACACGTATCGAGCAGTCATTTCTGAGCTTCGAACCCGATTCACCTGTTTGGAAGGCGAACTCTCTATCACCTGAGCCACCACTACTTTAAAGCATTGATTGCAGTTTTTGGACTTAAGCAGACGAAAAAACCTACTTTCTCTAAATAAATATGCCTTTTTTCGGTTAAGTCTTTTTTTTCCAATTATTAATTAGTATATTAATTAGTATATATTTCAATTATTAATTAGTATATTAATTAGTATTAGTATATCCTCGGACTATTAGGTTTGAGTGCTAGAATATGAACATCACTATATGAAAAGTTGTTCATGGTGGTCAGTTTATTTTTTGCTCACTGTTCCTTCACATCCACGAGCACTTCCTCAGACTGTAAGGATTGACTCCTATAATATGAGGATCCGATCATTAGAGGAAAAGTCATTCTTAGTGGTCTATTTATTTTTTTGCTCACAGTAATTCTATAGAATGCTGAATACGAAAATTTTATATTTTAACGAAATATTCTAGGTATTTATAAATTTTCTAGACGTGTACTTGCATTTCATACTTTGTTAGGAACATTTATGTGACATGACTGAAACTTTTCTATAATCTATAAGAATAAAACAAACGGATAAATGTATTATCCATTCTTTCTTCAGTTTTATTTTGTAGTATTTTCCCATAAAGTCTAGACAAAATAAAACAAATATTGTTTTGTAGAAGGAAACTACATTATTAAGCTTGAGTGAGTTGTCTCAGTCAATTTATTGTTAAACTTTCTCTCTCCAAATTCTCTGCTTTCAAAAAATCAATAAAATTCTAAAGTCGCTGATAAAAATAGATTGGTTTTCCGAATTTCTGGAAATTTTGAAAATATATGTAGGTATTATCGATTGGGCAGGATAGACACGTATCATTTTCTTAGAGCACTGTCTATGTTTTGTTTGTTAATTTGATTTTTAAATTTAAATTCTTAGGTACTACAAAAAAATTCATGTTTTAAAATAAAGTAAAAAACTGTTTGTCTTCTTCGTCGCATAATTTTGAAGGAAACTGTAATAAAAGTCCCTAGTTTTTGATTGAATATTCTATGAACTAATAGTATTCGGCCGTACAAAATATGAATTCATTTTCAATTCTTGGCTTCATCGCAAAATAGACAAGTTAAATGAGTGCTGACATCTAGTTTAAAGTTGTTTTTCAAAACTCTGCCGCCAAACGAAATAAGAAAGCCATAGTTTAATTTCCTTAGATTTGAAGTGATGCGCGATGATTTTAAACTATATGTATATTCTTGCATTAGAACAAACAAATAACTTAAATATTTTAAAACTTTTTTAAAATCGTCGATTTGGCGACATTTTTCTATAGTGATGAAAATTACCAAACTCTCTGCCTTATTCTCAGTTTTCGCAAATTCTTATAAGCCCAAGTAATGCAACATTGGAGTTAATTTTTACATATTTAAAAACTTAAACCACAGCCGCTTTTCATTTTCATATAACTGGGGCTTTTCTCCATATGGACATTTTGAACCATTCTCAAAATAATCGTAGACAGCTCTGGCTTTAGATGCGTTAAACTTGACCTAACAGTCAGTTTAAAGTTTTTCAAAGCTCTGTCGTTTAACAAAATAAGAAAGCGATAGTTTAATTGCGTTAGATTTGAAGTGATGCGCGATGATTT